AAAAGTGCCTCTTTCTCCAGGTGGATGCAGGCCTGATGAGAAGAGCATAGGCTGGATTTCAGCCCCCAACTCCTTCTTGGCCAGGTGTCCTTGCACAGTGCACAACCTAGCCACCTGCACACAGTAACCCACTTTGACAGACGCAGGGAGTACACCGATTGAAGGGCCTTGATAGACAGCCCAGCCACGGAGACCCAGGAGAGTGGACTAATTTATCCATGGTAACAAGGCAAGCTGGTGGCACAGTCAAGGTCGAAGATCCAGGTGTCATGACTCCCAATCCAGTGCTCATTCTGTCTCCCCACTCCACCTACATTTCACTCTTGGGAACAAATGGCAAACCCAAGAGAGCAGAACCTGTGAAAGCAGCGCCTGGGGAAGCCTTCTTGCACTAATTAGAAGAGAAGTGATAACCTCATCTCAAGCACTGTCTAGACATAAAATTGAACATAAAACTTTCTGAACCGTGTACCACCTAACCCTTGGCTGGCGTGGAACGTAAATACAGATCGTCCCTATTTATTTCCCATCTACCAACCACATTAATCTCATGCTACTTCATTGTGAGTATGGCCCCTATGTCTGTCTAGGCCAATATATCTGTCTTGGCCTGGAAGCACCCAGATGGAGTTTCCAGCTTGCAAGGAACCCCTGAACACACTAGTGCTGAGAAGATGGCTTTTAATTCAGGTGAAGGTGAGGGCAACAGTGATGAAGAAGAAAGGGGATGGGAGGGGAAGGAAAAGGTGGGGAGGAGGAAGAAGAAAGGCAATTCCTGATGTCTTAATTTCATATCCAATCTTCCCCATTGCCTCTAACACCACTGAGCTCTGCTTCCCAGAAACGGTGGTGAAGATACACACACACGCCTGTGCATTCTTACTTCTCTCTGTGTTTTTCTCTCTGTCTCCATCTCTCTCTCTCTCTGGGCAGTGCCTGCAATATAATGTGGTGATTAAACTCAGGCAGAGCCAGGCTTCCTGACTGTGTATCAGGCGTTACCACCTCCTCGCTGTGGGACTTCAGGCAAGTGCCTTAACTTCTCTGCGCCTCAGTTTTCTTTTCAACACAATGGAGATAACAACAAACATGACCTCATAGAGTTTCATGAAGATTATGAGAGTGAATATACGTGCAATACTTAGTACAGTGCCTGGTTAAGGAGGTATTCTGTAAGCACAAGCTGTAACTATCTCAGGGTGCTGCGTTTTTGGCATCTCATCCTGGCCCCTTTTTCATGCATTTGGGATGGGGGTGGGGAATTGTCCAGGTTGCTGGCACAGTTTCCAGCTCAGTATTCTAACAGTCAGCAGAGATGGGCTGCCTGGAGAAGAAGTGAGCTTCCAGTCACTGGAAGTGATCAAGCAGAATCCAGATGAGCATTTGACATGGATATGGCAGAACAGGTGAGGAAGGAGGGGGAAGGCCTCTTGCAAAATTCCTTCCTGAGAGCCTGGGAATGTGTGAGTAAACCCACATCTCCAGGCACCTGCGTGGGCACAGCCTTGCCCGCAAATAAGGACACACGTACAGGGGCACACTCTCTGCCCTGGCATTGAGGAGCAAGAAGAAGTGTTATAAACCAAGCAAGCCAGCACCCCCACCTATGCTCTCCCTAGCCCCCAGCCAATTCCTGTGTGCACACAGGCATCCAGGTGGTGAGCGGAAGCTTTGAGGGTGGTACCAAGTATTTATCACTCCTAGCTCTCTTTTAACGGGTACCAACTGCCAGCCACACCCCAACCACCACAGCCCAGTTATAAGGCAGGGCTGGGGGCAGGAGGCAGGAACAGGTTAGATAGTAGGGTGTTCGTTCTACTTCTGATGTGGGTGGACTGATACGGAACCTGGGAAAGTCCTGGCCTCCAAAGATCAGGGTGCCCAGAATTCAGGTGTTGTGGGAGGGAAGGCCTTTGCCCATCACGGAGGGAATCAAGCAGGCATTTGTAGAAGGGCCGGGCACCCCACCTCCAGCAAAGGCTCAAATTCAGCTCCACCTTCAGGTCCAAGCAGCTTCCTTTAGGGGTAGGATAAGAAGAGAGATTGCGGAAATCCTTCCTGCCTAAACTCTCCTGCCCTGGCCTTCTCCTCTCCTCGCCGCACCGCGCACAGTCTCCAGCCCTCCTTCCGCTGGGAGCCGCGCCCCCATTAGCCATTCCGCGCTGATAAGCTCGCGCGGCCGCACACTCAGACCCTCCCTCAGCCCGCGATGCATTACTGCATCTGATTTGTCTTTGCAGCAGCTGCCACAGCAGTTCTTCCTTCCTAACAATATTGGCTTCGCCTGATATTAAAAAGGGGCCGTAAGTGCCACCGAACATCTTTGCTGGGGAGAGGAGACCGCACACTAGGGGGATGGGGAGGCGGGCCCGCCCCGAATGAGCCTTTTGCTGCGGATTCATCCAAAGGCCGATGGTCCACTGGCAAAAATTAGGCAGGGGGTGGGGCGAGGGGTTAGGGAGGAGACGAGAGCCAGGAGGGGGCGAAGAGACGACATCCGGGAGGCGGGGCTTTCCCCCACGCTGGCGCGCCCAGCCCTACGCCCCCTCGCACCCCTGCTCACCCACCCCCGGGCCCTGCGGAGTGACAGGGGCTGCAGGAGGCGGGGTGTGCCTGTGTGTGCCTCTGTGTGTGTGTGTGCGTGCCTCTGTATATGTGTGCTTGTGCCTCTGTGTGTACCTGTGTGTGCCTCTGTGTGTGTGTGCGCCTGTGTGCGCCTCTATGTGTGCGTGTGTGTGCCTCTGTGTGTGTGTGCGTGCCTCTGTATATGTGTGTTTGTGCCTCTGGGTGTGTGTGCCTGTGTGTGTGCCTCTGTGTGTGCGTGTGTGTGTGCGCGCGCGTGTCCCCCCAGCCTTCCTACCACAACCCGGCCGCTCTTCCCAATCAATGGCCTCTTTGTGGAGGAGGGACTGGAACGACGTGTGCGGGGGAGGGGTGGGAGGCCGCCTCCTGGGCACCCGGCGCTCCCGACCCAAGCTGACAGCCGTGGGGCAGGGCTCCCAGTACCCCAGTAAGAGTACACTCCCCCGAGGATCTCCACCCTCTGTGGACCTAGAGAATGGGGCCGACAGAGGCGGTGGGTAGAGCCTCCCGGACTCTGCGCTATGGGGCGGTCGCAGGTCCCACACCGGAAAGCACCGGGACGCGCTCTCCCCGGCCCGCGACCGCTAGGTGGCGCCGTGCCCGTCCCGCCTCCAGGAGGCCCCGCAGGGTCCCCGACGCCGAGGGCACCTGGAGGCGAGCTGGGGAGGCGGAGAGGAGGTGGAAGCAGCATTCCCGCAGTCTCATTCATTCGTGCATTTGTCCATGACCACTAAATTGGACAGTCGGACAGAGGGACAGGTGCACATCCTTCTTTTGAAGGTCTAAATGCCCAAACTTCAGAGAGACTAGAGAGATACCCCACAGGAAAAGTGAATCATGCCAAAGGCCAAGCAAGAGGTATATCCAGTGCACTAAGTTCAGAAACAACCGTGGAATTCGACAGCATAGAACCCTGAGATGGGTTATCTTGACCATTCTGTGCCAGACCAATCAGATGGGGGAGAGCCATTCATTCCCGCCAGTGCCAGGCCCTGGGCTGGACTTCGGACACTCAATTGTGACCTGTCCTCGGGGAGTTTATGTACTAGTGGAGGAGAAAGAAATCAGGCAGATAACTACACAAATAATTCCCTAGCTACAGCTGTCTTGCACATGCACAGGTATAGAAAAAGGGAGGAAGAGTCAACCCTCGCCCTGGGTTGCCTGCTCCAGCCCTAACTAGGGTTGGAAGTAGGGGTCTTTGCCTTATGAAGAACACAAATCACTTCCTCTTAGTTCAAAATAGAAATAAGAGCAGCGGTCCAACATCTGAGGCACAGTCAAGGCAAGAGTGACCATTTTTCGGGGGTAAACTGGGGACCACAGGAAAAGAGCCTTGAGACCAAGCACTTAATTCTATGTGCAGGGCATGGTGCATGGTTACTTCTTTAACCTTTGGTCCACTCTGTGGAGTGGATGTTAAGCCTACTTTACAGAGGAGGAGACTGAGGCCCAGGGAGGTAAGAGACTGGCCCAGAGTGCCAAGAGCTAGTTTATGACAGAGCTGGAACTGGACCCTATAACTGCCTCAGGCCCAAGTCCCATACCTCTTCTGTTATAACAGCCTGCCTCTGGGACCATGTCTGGATGCCCTGCTAGGGCCAGAGCAGTAGGGTGGAGGGAGATCAGAAAGAGAAAGGGGCTGGGCAAATGAAGAAGCCTCCAGATTGGGGTCCTCGTCACCACTCCCAGCTCATCACAGCCAGCCCTTTCTCAGCATCTCCTGACCCAAGCACCACCCGCTTAACATTCTGCTCAGTTTCCTCTGTACTCCGACTCCAAATGTTTATCAACACATGCTGTAATGTAATCAGCTCCTGGGAAAATACACACCAGGTAATGGATGCTGATAAGAGTGTCAAACAGATGTCCCTTCCCTGCCCCTCCCTCCCAGTCAGAACTGGCACACCCAGGAGGCTGGGGAGGCATCTCTTGCCACACCACCCCTCCAGCCCTGGCAGTGGAGGCATTCCTCCAGAAGCTGCCCAGGCAGGCGACAGGGCCTGACCCTGTGGGGCCCAGCATTGTGCCAGGCACTGTGCCGTGGACTTTGCACACCTCACAATAGCACTGTAAGTTTGGTGTTACTATTCCCATTTTGCAGATAGAGAAACTAAGGCACACAATAATGATGAAACCAGAGTGAAGAAGTAGCAGCATCAGAAGCAGATTAAGGGGCCATCACTCCACCTCTCCATTCATCATCAGGCCACCTCCCCACTGAACATGGCCCTTCGAAGGAAGCTGCCCTCATTACCTTTCTAAGTTATTGGATCTAAGGCCTGTATGGACTTGGCAGGTCAGGTGGTGGAGGGCTTGCAACCTGTTCCTCATGTCTGGCCCAGACAGGTAGGAGACAGGGTCCTGAACCTGTCCTAAAGGCTCAAGCAGAAGAGGGAGGCTGCCACTAGGCATGTGGGAGCAGAAGGGGATCCAAGGGAAGGGGAAAGCCTTCTTTGTCCTTTTCTCCTCCCTTTTTCTCAAATTAGAGCTTAAGGACCCACACATGGACCTAGACAGAGGGGAGAGAAAGTGCACAGAGTTGAGGACAGCCCTGATGGAACAGGATCCCCCCACCCTCAGGACCTTCTAGGACCAGCTGTCTGAGGCTGGGCAGTCCTAAAGGAAATCGGTATTTGCTTTTCCCTCCAACGCAGTCAATTGCTCCTTTCATCTGACAGGGAGTTGTAAATGAGACTTTATGGGATTTCTAATGATGGCGGTTTCCCTTTATCAGCCTCCAATTCCCACTTCTCAGCTGGGGTTGACTCGGGGAAATGTTTTGACCAGGAATCAAGAATCTAGCAGGCCCCTGCCCTGGCTGCTGCTTTCTGTAGTGAGGGCTGGAAGTTGTCAAATAGGCATGGGAAGCTCACTACCGAGAAGTCAGATCTGAGTTTCAGGCCACCTCCCAGATGGCGAACTTCACCCCTCTGGCTTCTGTTGCTTCAACTGTAAACCTGGAGTAATAATGCCTGCTCCACCCACCCGTCTCACAGGGCTGCTGTGAGGATCAAATGAGATTACAGGCCTGAAAACCCTTTGAAAAATATGAAGCAATCATCCACCTTGGTTTTGCTATTATTATTATTGTGGTGGTGATTGTGTGTAGGTGCAAATGGGAAAGCACATTATGGCAACCTGCATGTCTTTGTGAGTGAGCTTGTTTGTGTACACGGAAGTGTATGTGTCAGTTTGTGGAAAGGTGGAGCTCTTGTGTGTGCACCTGGGTTTAAAGAATGTATGGGGCAATGTGTGTGTGTCTTGTGAGTGTATCAGTATATGTGCACATATTAAAGTGTCTTAATATAATAATAGCATGTTAAAATAGAATATAATAGTCCTATGTGCCAGGCATTGTGCTAGACACTTGATATGGATGCTCCTTTTTAACTCTTGTAATGTGTTTGTAAAGACATGAGAAGGGGTCTGGGCCAGTATAGGTGTGCTGGCATCTATGTGAGGCTGTGTATAGAGCACTTGTGACATCCATGTGTCAGTGGTGGAGGGGCACGTCTCTGATGAAGGTAATGGCATGTAAAGTAATGCAATGCCTATTCATCTAATCTAGGTAGCAGGGGATCTCTCCATGTGCTCACCTGAGTTTCAATGAAAGGATGGGCATAAATGTCAGCGAATCTGAATGTGTGTGCGCATGCATGTGTGTGCATTCACATGCATAGGGGGGCACACCGGCCTCCCTGTTTCTAGGCCGATTAGTATAATTGTTTGTTAATCGTTAGCTGCCTGGGTTGCGTGAGCCCCCGGCATGCCCTGAGCGCCACTGCCACGCAGCCATCAAACCCACACAGACACACTGTGGTGACAGCAGCATGTTTGGGAGGGAGTGCCACTCTGCTCTCTGGAGTCACAGTCTGTACCAGGCAGCAGACCCCTGCCAGGGGAATGTCCAGATTGACTACACCAGGTTTGGAGCTGCAGAAGCATTCCAGAGATGGGCTAGGCTCAGAGCCTTATAGCAAGACAGACAGAGCCCAGAGGACCTGGGCCTAACAGGCAAACCAGTGCCTGGACCAGGAATGCCATCTGAGCACAACACAGGTTGGGGCTGCTGAGTGGCCAGGTATAAAACACGCTCACTCTGCTACAGCCCTACCATGCACAGCTCCCTGCCACCCTCAGGATAAAGTCCAAACTCCATAATGCAGCACAAAAGCACACATGACATGGGCACGTGACTCCCCAGGCCCTCTCTCACACTCTCCTTTTGCACCGCACCAGCCAGACTGAACGAACTACTCTCAGTCCTTCGGAGCACCCAGCCTCTGGGCCTTCTTGCTGCCTTCTCCTGTGCCCGATTTCTCTACAACATCACATCCCTGGCCAGCCAGTCCTCACCCCGCAAGGGGGCTTTACTCATCTCTGCAGGAACACGTCCTGACCCTTCCTGACCCCTAGACTAGGGAAGGGTCCCTGCCCACCTGACATTCCCGAAGTCCCTAGCTTTCCCTGCTGTCCACTTCCTTATGGATCCTGCCTCCCCCATTAGACTTGGGTTCCAGGAAGAAAGGCAGCATGTTGCAGCCGTTCACAGAATATCCAAATGCGTGGCACAGATCTGATTGTAGGTGGCCCATACATATTTCTTGAATGAATTATTGTTAAAAGCCAGTTGTGAGAGACCAGTTGTCTTAAGCTCTCCATATACAAATCATGGTATCCATCCAGACAGGCTCTTGGTCTCTCAGATCTCAAGGCTGGGGAGAAACACCCCTTTCCCCACTCCCCTCCTCCATCCCACCCCACCAGTGATAACCATCATCCCCAACAGGTGTGAAGATGGCATACACAATGCTTTTACAAAGATCCTGGGAGTTGCCAGTGTCATCTTACAAGTGAGGAGACTGAGGCTCAGGGAGGTATTAATAGCTCATTAACAGGGTGACCAACTTGTCCCACTTTGCCCAGGACCTTCCCAGTTTTAGCACTGAAAGTCCCGTGTCCTGGGAAACACCCCCTCTTCGGCCCCAGGTAAACTCCAGGTTTCATGGTTAGTAAATGGCAGGTCCAGGACTCAAACCTAACTCCAGAACACAGCATCCTCTCCCTTGGTTGCCTCCTGGGCAGCATGTGGTCTCATGTTCCTCAGAATTCAGTTACCTGCATGGGCATTTTCTACCCTCTGGATGTCACCTGCAGGCCACTTGGCAGCCTCCTGGATCACCTCTTTCTAGAAACATGTACTCAGGACATACAGGGCATTAATATTAACCTAAATCAAATATAATTCGAAAGCTCATTTCTTCAGGAAAAGCACTTTACATAATATAGAAAAAAATTAAATCTATTATTAAAGTAGCCTCATAATGATATTTAAGTAAATTTTAAATAAGATAAAAATTCTTTACCCACAAATTATTTTCATTTCTCCATGTCGCCGTCACATTTTCTCTTTATAAGTGTGTATTTTTACAGAGTTATAATGCAGTCTATGGATAATGCTTGTTCTTTTCACGTCACATTATAGAAGTCTGGGTTGGATTTTCCTCATTTGGGATTCTCCATGTCATTAGCATCAGTCATTAGCCCAGATCACAGGGAGTCTGGGCTCAGGACTGCCTCCTTCCCAAAGCACTTCTTCTTCAGCAGGGATTCCTAACTCAAGGCCCCAGCTGGGCTTCAGCAGGTTGCCATGCAAACCCTGTCCATGTGCGTATGTGCAGTTTTCAGGGAGAGACACAGCGCTCATCGGATCCCGAAAAGGTCTGAGACCCAAAGAGTCAAGACCCACAGCTCCACAGCCCCAGCCTCACGTCCCCACTCCCAGGCAGGCGTCCACCATGAGCTTTTTTTGTTGGGCTTGGGCTGATCCAGGAACTCTGCTCTTCCCTAACAATACCTTCTATTTCTTGGTTTCCACATAACTTGCAAGAAAAATCTGGTTCCTCTAGACAAGTAGTCCACCCTGATAATTATCCTGACTATAACACCCATCCCTGGATATAAGAGCATCATCAAAGGGAGGACAGTGTGGGTGGGAGGTTGAGTATCTTCCTTTCTCAAAGCCCTTTTCCCTTTTGTCTTTCTACATAAGGTATGCTCCACACAGAAGCTCCACTCCGTCCCTTCCCATCTTCATGACCTAAGCTCTCTGGTCTATGCGGACCCTGGATGAAACCCTCTTCTCAGTATCACTGTTGAGTTTTTAGTGCTCCCATCCCTAATCAGGAATGCTGCCTCTACTCACATCCAGAATTCTTTAGGATTTGGGATGTCGTGATTCACAGGAGTATATTGAGGGCCTTCTGACCAGACACAGGGCAGAGACCAATTTCCCTTCTTTCTAGAGAGTTGGATGGTTCAAGATGGAACTGGGGCCTTCCTACCATCGCTCAGAGCTCAGCCCCAAATGCCATGCAGATCACTGGGACACCATGGCCCACAAGGGAGAGGCTGGTGTCTGCTAACCGTCTTGGCAGCACTTCAACACAGTGGATCATTGGACTGGGGAGTGGGTGCAGCTGTGTGTAGTTGCTCCATCCCCAAGAGCAATGGCAGCCAAGGCTCTGCAGTGATCTCCGTAGGAATAACAGTAATTAAATGTTGCTAAGCGCTGTGGGATACAGAGGCACCATCATAATCACCACAGCCACCAGCGTGATGATCATAGTAATTAGGTGCTGTGGCTTCCCATCCACCCTGGGAGCACTGCCTGAGGTGAGGTTGGCCTCAGGTTAGGGCAAGAGGGTAGCCATGCCAGGTGGGTCATCTTTGGGGTTGGCTAAGGCTTTAGCCATACTTTCTTCATGGGATTCCTCTTCCTTTCCTCTCCCCTTGCCCTCAGCCTCAACTGACACCAGGGTGAGCACTGGGGACACAAAAGGGGGTGACCCCCATCCAGCATACCACTCCAATATATCTTCTCCTATTGACAGATTTCAGGGGATCAGGGAATCTTGGGGAATTCTTAATGGGGCTCCTCTCACATCAAAGTGAACTTTATTAGCCAATTTATGAATGACACAGAGGGGCCTGGGACATGGCTGGGAGGGGAAGTCATTATTGTATTGACTTTGGGCCTTTTCCAAGCCCAACAGCTGCCTCTCTGAAAGAACCTGTGGAAGTCAAGGGAGGGCTCAGAGGAGAGTTTCCTAGGGATGGCACCTTCCCCAGGGCTGATCTTTTGTCTAGTTGCCCCCTCATGCCTCCAGCCCTGAGGTCAGTGAGAAAGGTGAGCCCAACGGCCTGCTCTTCAAGTGGGCTGTCATTCCTGCAGTTATCAAGTCTCAGGGCCAGGAGGGAGTGTGGACTCACTGCATCCATGCTCCATGCCAGGGCAAGAAGCCCATGCACAGCATGCCTGATGAATGGGCCTGCAGCCTGAGTCTGAAAAGTGACTGGGAGGTCAATCCATTGTCAATCAACTAAGATCCCTCAACAGTCTTGCCTAGACCAAACTGAAATCTACCTCCTCCAAAAATATGACTATTGGTCCTGACTTTTCCCTATGAAGACACATAGATGATGCTTGCTCCTTTCTCCCCGTAGATTTTGGAAGCTTCGTAGTCATACTCCCCTTAACACATCCTTTGGCTTTCTCAATTGTGAAATCTGAAGCCAGCTTCCAACCTCTCTCTGCAGATAACTTCAGCTCCCACTGTACTGTAATGACCTTATTATAAACTTCCACCTTCACTATTCCCCACCAAAACTTCTACCTTCACTATTCTCTTCACCTTCCCTCCAGGCTCAGAGAAAGATGGGTCTTCTCCTTTCCAAGGCTCACCCCTTCCCACCCTCAGTGCCCCCCAACCCAGGGCTTGCTCCATAAACAACAACCTATTTCACTTCTTACACTTGCTTCTCCACTCCCTCACTGTCCACTAGCTCTTTTCCTTCTGACTACAAAATGCTCAGTAGCTTTTGATGAAAAAAGAGAAAATAAGCCTCTTGGTCTGTCTTGCTAAGCCTCTCCAAGCTTCTCATCTACCTTGCTCATTCCATCCACCACCAAACTTCTCAAAAGCAGAGAGGACACCTGCTGCCTCTGATTTTTCACCTTCCAGTTGCTCCTCCTCCCACTTTGATCTGGGTTCAGCCCCTGCCTGGTCACCAACATCACTCTCTCAAAGGTCACTGGTGGTTTTGCCACTGCTTCCAAAGTCCCCTTCTGATCCCCACCTGCTTTCTGCGGCATCAGATACTGTTAGCAACCTCCTCCTCCTCCTCTATTAAATCCTCTTCTCACTTGGCTTCCATGACAACCCTCTCTCCTCAGTCCCCTCCTCCTTCACTGACCAATCATCATCTGTCCATCCTACCCACGTTGTTGCCAGATTCATCTCCTGAAGCACAGCTCTGACAGCTCCCAATAAGTGCTCTGTTCAGAAACCTTCCATGGCTCACCACTGCCTGCAAAAATAAATAAACTAATTAATTAATTAATTAATAATAATGGAGTTGTAAAATCATGCAACTATATGTAATTCAAAATATACAATAATCTGTCAGGTTTTCAAATCTTTTTAAGCAGCAGAATCTTCAGAATCCATTAAGAGATACCTTTCTCAGAAGTCCAATTTTCAAGCACATGAAAACACATGCTCTTTAAATGTGACTCCTATTGAGCCCAGGAGATTCTAGGGTTTCCAAAACACAATTGGAAAACCAGTGAACAAATTAAACTCCTCAGTCTGCAGATGAGATAACTGAGGTCCAGAGAGGGGAAGTGATTGGCAGAAAGTGGCCACAGGATGTGAGTTAATCAACACATTTTCATTACAGCCTATCAGGTACCAGGCATGTCCTAGGTGCTAGAGATATAGCAGAGAACAAGAGCAACATGATCCCTGCCCTGGAGGAGCTGACAGTCTAATGGGGAGTGAATCAGGCACTATAAACCATCACTAAAGTGGTCCCAAGTATTCAAAGCCTATAGCAGGGGACAATTGGAAATCCCAGTGGCTCCTCATCGAAGCCTCGGAGCAGGGTGAGATGAGGCTGCAGAAGCAGGCATGGGCCCTTAGGCCTTGTTGAGGACTTGACACTGGTCTCAGAGTCTGGCAGGCCGAGAAGTCATTCCTGACATTGCGACTTGACCATCGGCATTTGAAAATAATCCACTGCTAAATGTAATGTATCCTGGATTAAATTGTGGAACAAAAAATAGACATTAGTGGGAAAAAAACCTGGGGAAATCTGAATAAATTCTGTAGTTCAGTTAATAGTATTATACTAACACTAATTTCTTGGTTTTCATAGATGTACCATGGTTCTATAAGATGTTAACATTCAGGGAAGATGATTGACGGGCATATGGAACTCTGTACCATTTTTGCAACTCTATTGCAAATCCAAAATTATTTCAAAACAAAGCTTGTAAAATATATATAAACCATTTTCAGAAAGGGGAAAACTGGATGTGGGGAGACAGATGACAATCATAATGATGACTAACACTTAAACAGTTTTTCCTGTACACCAGGCAGTGTTCCATGCACTTCACATGTTTGGCTCATTTAATCCTCACAACTTCAAGAGGTAGGTGCTGTTATTTCTCCCTGTTTTACAGAGAAAGAACCTGAGCACAGAGAAGTTAAGTCACTTGCCCAAGGACACACAGCTATTGGGTGTCAGAGCTGAAGTTTAAGAATTCCAGGCAGATTAGCTCTCCAGAGTTCCATGTGCTGGACCATTACATTTTACTCCCCACCTCAGTGCAGACTGGCTATACTGTCAGTATTGTAAAGACCATGAGTGCAGAAGAGGAAGAATCAACAGAATTGGAATATGGTGGTTTAGGAAGAGGTAAGAAGCAAGAGTGACTCCTGGGCTCATAGCTTAAGAGCAGGAACCAAAGCCTGCTTTCCTGCTGCTTGGTCCTGTGTTTCTTCTTGTCACTAAAGGAAACCTTCTGGTCCTTTTGCATTCTGTTTGTGCCTACCTGTCCCTTTCTCTTAGACATCCCTAAAACACAAAACAAACTGGACTGCCTGCTGTCCTAACACAGGTGACACCTCTTCCACCTCCGCGTACCTCCATGTTTTTGTACAAGCTGTTCCTTCCACCTAAGATTCTCTCTCCTGCCTCCTTTGGTCCAAATCTGATCTGCCTTTCAGGGTCTCAGTTAAATGTCCCCTCCCCCAGCAACATTCCCTGCTTGTTTAAAGATGATGAGTGAACAACCATACTATATCACTTACTTGCTTCCATCTTCTCCACCCAACCAATCCCCGGGCAGCCACATCTTCCCCGCTGGCCGCACCCTCTTTGGAAGCTCATTTAAGATCAGAGGATCAAAGAAGCCTGACCTAAAGATGGAGAGGGTGCAGCTAGGCACAGTGGCTCACGCCTATAATCCCAGCACTTTGGGAGGCCAAGGAGGGCAGATCACCTGAGGTCAGGAGTTCAAGACCAGCCTGGCCAACATGGCGAAACCTTGTCTCTACTAAAAATACAAAAATTAGCCGGGCATGGTGGTACACACCTGTAATTCCAGCTATTCGGGAGGCTAAGACAGGTGAAACGCTTGAACCTGGGAGACAGAGGTTGCAGTGAGCTGAGATCACGCCACTACACTTCAGCCTGGGCAACAGAGCAAGACTGTCTCAAATAAAATAAAATAAAGATGGAGAGGATGGGAGGGTAAGAGCAGGGAACAAGAAGACATTGGTACATCTGGGATTGCCCCTTCAAACCCATGCCTTCAGCTCCTCAATGTGCCTGGCACAGAGCTGAAGGCCACCACAGTGAATTCAATTCAACCCTGGCCCTTAAAGTACTCAGCAGCCAGATGGGAGATTCCTGGCTGCCACAAACTAAATTTCATAGCGTGTTCCCCAGCTTAAAACCCTCCGGGCATGATTCACCAATCTGCAGGCCTCTCCTTTCCTCAAGTCTTAGGCTCAGCCTACCACCAGTCAACCCTTTGTGGGCCCCCTACTCCCCTAACTATTGCTTACCTTCATTCCTTTCCTCATGCTGACCCTCTACCTTAAATCCAGTGTCTTTTATGTCTCTGCCCTCCAGCACTTACCTTGGTCTGATAGATGACTCACAGAGACCCTGTGTTCCCTTCCCTGAAGCCTTTACACCAACCGCACCCCGGGCTAAACTGGGTACTTTTTCTGTGACCCACCAAACCCACACAATCCCATATCAAATATTTGTTTACAACATCCGTTTCTATGTCTGTCTTCCCCCTCCCCCTCAACTAGATTGAGTTCCTTTAGGGCAATGATAATGTCTCTGTATCCCCAAGCCAGGCACTGTGTTTTGATACAAAGAAAGCCCAGGTTACCTTTGTTACATGTAAAAGACCATACAGTGAGTGGGTGAGTGTTCATGAGAATGCCAGATCTGACTACTTCAGCGAGAAACCGAGACACTCCAGGGCCGGAACCCAGACAGTGGGAATATGGTGCTGTCTTTGCCCCTTCTACAGTGAAGAACCAGAATTTACATGTTATCAGAAACAGCCACTTCCCCGCTGCTCCTGCCCGCCTAGAGGGCTGGGCAAAGGGTAGAGGGAGCAGGGTCCCGCCAGGGTCTGGGGAGAATTCAGCTCTCCTTAGTGGCAAACTCTGTCTGTCTTCCTCCCCCAGGGGGAGGGGATGGGGATAGAAGGACCAGAGCAAGGGGAACAGGGCAGGCCTGGAGGGCGCAGTCGCCTTGGCAGAAATCCTACCACACCCGGATGTGGTGGGTGGTGAACGGGATGGGGCGGAGAGTCCCTGCCCTGCCAGGGACACTGACTGGACAATCCACTTTAGCGGGAACCCCACAAATCTCTCAAAACTAAGGTCCTGGAAACTGGAGGAGAGCTCGGTTTCAGGCTCTGTTTGGGCAAGTGCGGGGCGCGGGGTGCTTCAATTTTTGGGAAAGGAACCCCCGAAGGGAGCAGGGATTAGAAAAGAAACTCTACCAGAAACCTCAGTGGGCCCGTCTCACCCACTCAAGCCCACCACCGACTTCTCTGGCAGCTCCCCGTCGCCCCGCGCACCGCTGCCTCTCCGTGGAGCCTCCAAGTGGTGCAGAGGAGAGGGATCTCCGGAGACGGTTGTGTTGCGAGCCCTGTCACGTTCCGCCCCGGGCGGAACTCTTCTTTGGGCCTTTGTTTCCTCGCCTGTGAAATGGGAGCAGGGTGGGAGCAGAGGACTTACAGAAGCCCTGCCAGCTCCGACGCTGCTAGCCGGGATTCTCCATCCCGCCCTCTCCTCCACAGCCGTCCCCAGACCGGTCCTAACTCCACCCCCACCCCCCGCGCCTCGGCTTCGCCGGCCGCTAGGGGTCACTGCCTGCCTTTGTCAGCGGAGGAGGAGGGCAGCCCGCGCTCCAGCCGGCTCCCCAGCTGGAAGGCGGGATTCTCCATCCCGCCCTCTCCTCCACAGCCGTCCCCAGACCGGTCCTAACTCCACCCCCACCCCCCGCGCCTCGGCTTCGCCGGCCGCTAG